TAAGAACAAGGAGCTGGGACATAAGAACAAGGAGCTGGGACATAAGAACAAGGAGCTGGGACATAAGAACAAGGAGCTGGGACATAAGAACAAGGAGCTGGGACATAAGAACAAGGAGCTGGGACATAAGAACAAGGAGCTGGGACATAAGAACAAGGAGCTGGACATAAGAACAAGGAGCTGGGACATAAGAACAAGGAGCTGGGACATAAGAACAAGGAGGACATAAGAACAAGGAGCTGGGACATAAGAACAAGGAGCTGGGACATAAGAACAAGGAGCTGGGACATAAGAACAAGGCGCAGGACATAAGAACAAGGAGCTGGGACATAAGAACAAGGCGCAGGACATAAGAACAAGGAGCTGGGACATAAGAACAAGGCGCAGGACATAAGAACAAGGAGCTGGGACATAAGAACAAGGAGCTGGGACATAAGAACAAGGAGCTGGACATAAGAACAAGGAGCTGGGACATAAGAACAAGGCGCAGGACATAAGAACAAGGAGCTGGGACATAAGAACAAGGAGCTGGGACATAAGAACAAGGAGCTGGACATAAGAACAAGGAGCTGGGACATAAGAACAAGGAGCTGGACATAAGAACAAGGCGCAGGACATAAGAACAAGGAGCTGGGACATAAGAACAAGGAGCTGGGACATAAGAACAAGGCGCAGGACATAAGAACAAGGAGCTGGGACATAAGAACAAGGCGCAGGACATAAGAACAAGGAGCTGGGACATAAGAACAAGGCGCAGGACATAAGAACAAGGAGCTGGGACATAAGAACAAGGAGCTGGACATAAGAACAAGGAGCTGGGACATAAGAACAAGGCGCAGGACATAAGAACAAGGCGCAGGACATAAGAACAAGGCGCAGGACATAAGAACAAGGCGCAGGACATAAGAACAAGGCACAGGACATAAGAACAAGGACCCAAGCTACAGAACAGTTGTCAAGAGTGGAGGCCAGAGGGTGAAGGGGCAGACAGAGTGGGTTGACGGCCCACAGATGGTAGACTTGGGTCCGGGGCGCTGACTCCTCTCACACAGTCAACTTTATTATATTTAGGTGGAGTTGATATTATGTAACCCCATACCCATCTTGTGGGTAGTGGGGGCCCTCTATACCCATCTTGTGGGTGGTGGGCCCCCATACCCATCTTGTGGGTGGTGGGCCCCCATACCCATCTTGTGGGTGGTGGCCCCCCCATACCCATCTTGTGGGTGGTGGGCCCCCATACCCATCTTGTGGGTGGTGGTGGGCCCCCATACCCAACTTGTGGGTGGTGGTGGGCCCCCATACCCATCTTGTGGGTGGTGGCCCCCCCATACCCATCTTGTGGGTAGTGGGGGCCTCTATACCCAACTTGTGGGTGGTGGTGGGCCCTATACCCATCTTGTGGGTGGTGGTGGGGCCCCCATACCCATCTTGTGGGTGGTGGTGGGCCCCCATACCCAACTTGTGGGTGGTGGTGGGCCCCCATACCCATCTTGTGGGTGGTGGTGGGCCCCCATACCCATCTTGTGGGTAGTGGGGGCCCTCTATACCCATCTTGTGGTTGGTGGTGGGCCCCATACCCAACTTGTGGGTGGTGGTGGGCCCCCATACCCATCTTGTGGGTGGTGGTGGGCCCCCATACCCATCTTGTGGGTAGTGGGGGCCTCTATACCCAACTTGTGGGTGGTGGTGGGCCCCCATACCCATCTTGTGGGTGGTGGTGGGGCCCCCATACCCATCTTGTGGGTGGTGGTGGGGCCCCCATACCCATCTTGTGGGTGGTGGTGGGGCCCCCATACCCATCTTGTGGGTGGTGTTGGGGCCTATACCCAACTTGTGGGTGGTGGTGGGCCCGATACCCATCTTGTGGGTGGTGGTGGGGCCCCCATACCCATCTTGTGGGTGGTGGTGGGGCCCCCATACCCATCTTGTGGGTGGTGGTGGGGCCCTCATACCCATCTTGTGGGTGGTGTTGGGGCCTATATACCCAACTTGTGGGTGGTGGTGGGGCCCCATACCCATCTTGTGGGTGGTGGTGGTGGCCTCTATACCCATCTCGCATGACCTCTGCGAGCCTGAAAACCTTACTGCTGCTAGTTTCCTCAACTGTATGAATTCCTGCTTCCTCATACCCTTAATCACTAGACCTACTAGAATCACTGACAGTACTGCCACGACTCTTGATCGCATCTGGACCAACATAACCTCTCCACTTACTTCAGGTATAATCATTGATAGCACTACAGACCATTACCCCCACATTTCTCCTAACCAACATTAACAAACCACCTCTAGAGACAAGAGAGATAAGCTTTAGGCTGCACAATGAAACTGCTATAGACAATTTTATAACTGCTGCTGCTAATTTCAACTGGGAGTCCGAGTTAGGTAACATAGGGGACATCAACCTAGCAGTGCAATCTTTTCTTCAAAATACTCTCAGCCTTTATAACATCCACTGTCCTATGCTAACGAAACAAGTCACAACCAAAAGGCTAAACAATCCTTGGCTTACAAAGGGAATACTTAAATCCATTAATAAAAAAACATGACCTTGAGAAGAAGTATAGGTTAGGAACCTTCTCCAAAGAACTTTCAAAGAATTACTCGTTATTGTTATCTAAAATAATTAGAAGAGCCAAAATTAAATACTACGAAGATAAATTTACTCAAACAAAGGGCAACATTTAAAAAACATGGAGCACAATTTCACAAATATTGGTATCAAAGAAGATTTTAAATAAACCAATACTCTTGTCCAATAACGATGGTCAGCTAACAGCCTTTGATTCTGCTAATGAATTCAATAGGTTCTTCTCTTCCATTGGGTCATCCCTTGCAAATGATATTCCATCTTCCAGTACTGATGTTCAGGACTATCTTACATGTAACTATCCACAGTCTCTGTACCTAAAGCCTACTAATTCCACTGATGTTAATGAGATAATCCTTTCCCTTAAAACCAAGTCTAGTGCCCTTGAGGAGATACCAACTTTAATTTACAAAAAAGCCTCCAGAACTTTAGCCCCTGCTATTGCATTGCTCTTCAACAAGTCACTTGAACTCCAAACCTTTCCAGATATTCTAAAAAAAGCGAGAGTAACGCCTGTCCACAAATGTGGTGAACTCACAGATGTTAACAACTACAGACCTATATCAATCCTGCCAAACTTGTCAAAATTTTTTAAAAAACTAATCTATAAGCAGCTTTACTCTTATCTAGCCAAACACAATACAGTATACTTAGCCCTTGCCAATATGGCTTCAGACCCAAAAAAAGCACTAATGATGCACTTATTAGTATGCTTAACTCGATTCATACAGCTCTTGATAAAAATGAGTTCCCTGTTGGGTTTGTGGACCTGCGTAAGGCTTTTGACACTGTCAACCACTAAAACCTTCTTCTTAAATTACAACATTATGGAGTCAGAGGTCACTCTCTGCAGTACGTTAAGTCTTACCTTACTGACAGGCTCCAGTATGTTTCTGTGAATAATACAATTTCTCCCATCCTACCCATCAACATTGGTGTTCCTCAGGGCAGCATACTTGGCCCTCTCCTCTTTCTCATCTACATTAATGACCTTCCAAATGCCTCCCAACACCTCAAACCAATTCTATTTGCTGACGACACAACCTTCATTTACTCCAGTCCTGACCCCCTTGCTCTAAATGCCACAGTGAATACCGAGCTAAATAAAGTCCATCTTTGGCTAACTGCCAACAAACTCACCCTTAACATTGACAAAACTTTCTATATTCTGTTTGGCAATAAATCCTCTAATCAAATAAATCTCAGGATAAACAATACCTAAATTTGTAATAAAGTAGATGGCAAATTCCTTGGCGTTCTCATTGACCACAAGCTGAATTTCCAGGGACACATTCTAAATATATCAAAAAAAGTTTCAAAAACTGTTGGCATTCTTTCTAAGATCAGATATTATGTACCACGCCCTGCCCTGGTGACTCTCTATTACTCCCTTATCTATCCATATCTCAACTATGGTATTTGTGCTTGGGGCTCTACTACCCAAAATCACTTACGTCCTCTAATTACTCAACACAAAGCTGCTATTAGGACAATATCCAATTCTGGCCCCAGACATCACTCGGTACCCCTACTCAAATCTCTGAATATGTTAGACATTAAGTCACTGCACATTCTCTCATGTGTATTATACATATATAAAACGCTAAACTATAATGCCAATCCTGATCTCAAAAGCTTCATAGAAGGTTGTAACAGAACCCATGAGCACCACACCAGAAATAAATACAGTTTTGATATTCCTAGAGTACGTCTTAATCAAACTAGAAATGCTCTACAAATCAAGGGGCCCAGAATGTGGAATGACCTTCCCAACCATGTTAAAGACTGTACGTACCTCTCTCAACCAGTTTAAGATAAAAACGAAGCTATACCTAATAAATTCCCTGTAACCTACCTTACCCTTCTATTGTCAACCAATGTCTGTTTTTTTCTTTAAAGAGCGCTGTTTGTCGACATAATTGTATTTGTGCTGCTTTTTCATCTATGTTTTCATTTCTTGTTTTCATTCTACTCATTATGCTCAATTAGTATTAAGCTTGTCATTTAAGTTTATCATGCCCGAAACGCTTTGCGTAATAGTGGCTTTAGGCATTGTATGTACTAGCTCTACCTATAAGTCAACCAATCCTTGTAAAAATTTATTGTATGTATGTACCTTACCTAAATAAAATTGTATTGTATTGTATTGTATTATTATTATTATTCAAAATTGGCGGGAGTTTGCGGTTTTCGACTCCATCTTCCACCACCAGATGTCTCTGCCTCAGCACGCTAACATTCGGTCGTTTGTCCCTGGTTTCGATTACATGGTGAACTCCATATTTCCCCTAACTGTATAATTACCGGGAATCTAGAGCCACAGTATACTAATAAAAATAAATAGTTTTATATACATAAGAGGCTGATGGGGTAATTAATTACTGTTTTCGGGTAGTTTAGTGATGTATTTTTTTACCTGTGCGTCGCATTCAGACACCTGGATGTATTCCGTCCTGGACGCACAGGAGAGAAATTTATCCGGAGTTTGTGTTGGCGGCCGGTGTTCCCCGCTCCCGAGGCCCCGAGTTTATGAGAGGCGAGGCGCGGCGCTCCCAGGTGCGTGTCCACCTCCCTCGGGGCCAGGAATAGGTCCGGGGGAGGTAAAACCTGAGATAAATACCCAGGGAAGCTCTGCCTGTGGGGGGTGATGATGGAGGGGGAGATGCTTGTGTTTGTGATTGTTTGTGTATGTAATGTTTGTCCCGCAGTGTGGAGGTGTTTACGTGGGGTATTTTGTGCCCTGAGGTGCCCCGGGGCTCTCCTGAGGTGCCAGTGCCCCAGTTATGGCGGGTATTGGTGTTCTGGCGGGTACCCGCATCGGGGTCCTGATGCGGGTTGTTTGTTTGGTGGAGGGTACCCGCAGCTGTGTGGTGGTGGGGGCGGGGGGGGGGGGTGGTGCCACGGTGGGCGTGGGGCCACGGTGGGCGTGGGGCCACGGTGGGCGTGGTGCCACGGTGGGTGTGGTGCCACGGTGGGTGTGGTGGCACGGTGGGCGTGGTGCCACGGTGGGCGTGGGGCCTACCCAACAGTGACAGTGGGGGGGGGGGATAATGTGGTCTTGGTCCTCCCTACAGCTCTCATGCACCTGGTGAGTTTTAACTTGACTGATGTTAAAATGTTATGTTCGGCCTTAAGGTTGATGTCGGCGACGGCCACGACTTGTGTTACTGTCCGTCACTCATGGCTGGAGGAGTTCCTTGTATTTCATTTGTGTGCGAGGAGTTGAGGCAGGTATGAGGGTGAAGAGTTGTGAGGTATGCAGTGGTTGTGGCCCACATGAAGGTACTTGGATGTTTCCTTGTCCGTATAAAGTAGAGGAAAGACAGTCTGCAACACGTCCACTACGGGCTCACCATAGCCCGTGCTACTTGGAGCTTTTGTTCCCAGTAACTGTGTGTTCAAGGACGACGACGGCGACGACAGTCTGCAACAGACAGTTGTTGTCACCATCGACAGGCACAGCTGTTTAGGCTGTTGATGTTGAATTTGGATAATAGTGTGTTCATCGTCTTGGCCGACTTGTTACAGTGAAGGCCTTTTTTTGTTCTCTTTTTTTTCTTTGTGTCTTCTTCATTTTCTTGTTTCTGTTTTCTCTTCAACTTCGACCCTTTGCAGGTAGGATATTTAGTTACATTAGAGAGCAGTGCAAAGTTAAACAACAGATGCCAGTGTGAGGATAAGTAGCAACTAGCATTACTTTTTAGGGATTTCAGGCCTAGTTAGGTAAGGGAATAGTGTCATGGTTGTATTTACATTTGGAGCGAGCGGGAATAGGGAAGATGTAGTGGTGAAACCTTCCCTATAATGTTACCCCTTATCCTCTTTATTTAATGTGGACTATTAGTGGCGTCAGACTTGACTCTAAGCATTACAATATTGGCTACACTTATGTCATGTCACAAGTTAAATGACCACATTGGAAACCCGTAGATCTACCTAGTTTTTCTGTAAAAGTTTGAGAAATATCTAGGTGGAGTCTTGAATGTTATTTCAGGCCAGGGGTATAGGTGTACTCGCCTTGTTGTGCTTCTGGGGGTTGAGCTTTGGCTCCTTGGTCCCGCCTCTTGACCGTCAAAAGTGTGTGACTCTTGTGTTATGTCAGGTCAGGGTGTAAGTGATCTGGCACTGGAAGGTGATCGGCACTGCCCGGCACAAGCTGCCAGAGGCATTAGTTATGTGGTTCTGGCACTGGAAGGTGGCCGGCACTGCCCAGCACCAGCTGCCAGAGGCATTAGTTAGTGGTTCTGGCACTGGAAGGTGGTCGGCACTGTCCAGCACCAGCTGCCAGAGGCATTAGTTAGTGGCTCTGGCACTGGAAGGTGGTCGGCACTGCCCAGCACCAGCTGCCAGAGGCATTAGTTATGTGGTTCTGGCACTGGAAGGTGTCGGCACTGTCCAGCACCAGCTGTCATAATGTGGTTGTGAAACTGTGTTTGGAGATTGTTAGTAATATTGTTATTTGTTTGCAGGTTTTGTAGTGTTTGTGTTAGCAAGATGGGGGAAGACCTCCTCTCACTCAAGTGGAACAACCACAAACCAGCATTTTTCCACCTACTGCGGATACTACGAGAGAAGGTAAGACGTGCGTTGCCGGTGGATATGTCCCTTCCCTTTGCCTCTATGCACAACTTTATGCCGTTTGGTTAGTCATAAATGTTGTCTCGAGTAGTTGTGTTTCTGTTGCATAAACACGACATGCAATTATTTTATCAAACAAACATTTAATAAAGTAATTTTGTTATAATTCCCTTCATGATGAAGTATTGTACCAGTACTCTTACTACAATTAAGAATAAACTAGGAAATTAAAATATCAAAATGATAAGGAATAGATAAGTTAGCAAAGCTCAGTATTGTATTCAGTATTGAGGTGGTGTGATTATGTTGAATTGTAGGTTGATAGACTGTCTAGGACTTTGTCAAAACTCTTGCCATGCAGCTGTGGGATGACAGACTGGCCGAGACTTTGTCAGATCACTTGCCACACACTTGACTATGGTTTATTGTGTATGTCAACTCGCAAGGAGCTCGGTGCATTTAATCTTATGAAGCGGTCTGTATTCACCTAGTTGTGCTTATGGGGGTTGAGCTCTGGCTCTTTCGGCCCGCCTCTAAACTGTCAATCAATTTATTTTTTCCCACACACACACACAGAGGTTTGTGATCACACAAGGTTTACATAGTACTCAGTACCAGTAGGGTTTTGAGCAGTTTAAAGAGTACTGAACATCAATTGGGTCCTAAGCAGCTTACATATCTACTAGTTTTTGTTGTATCCTGTATCTTCTAATACTTATTTTCTGATAATGCCAACTACAGTATATTTGTTTTTTTTGTACTTTATATTTTTGTTATACTGTATATCTTCTAAATGTCAGCTTCTCTTAATGACAACTTTGTATTTTTCAGGGTTGCTACACAGATGTAACGCTAGCATGTGGTACAAAGTTCTTTGCGGTTCATCGTCTGGTGCTGATGGCGTGTAGCGACTTCTTTACCGAGGTGTTCGAGCACACGCTGTGTCAAAAACCTGTGATTGTGCTGAAAGACATTAAAAGCCACGAACTAGAAGCTTTGTTAGATTATATGTACCTCGGGGAGGTGGATGTGCAACAGACTGATCTCCCCGGGTTAATTAAGGCCGCCGAGTGCCTCAGAATTAAGGGCTTGGCTGTTCCTGACGAGGACCCATCCCAACCCCTGAGACCGGAGCTTCCAGTTGGTGGCGAGAGACCGGCAAAACGTCGCAGACAAGACCGGGAAGTGAGAGATGGCGATCGAGGAAGTACCAGATCGCACAGTGGGGACAGAGGGAGTCACGGAGCGCCGCCAACCGAAGACGTGGCGCCGTACTCGCATCACAGGACAGATGTCATGCAGGGTGATGACAATGTGGAGGAGAACTCCACTAAGTGTGTGGTGCCTCAACCAAATGATGAAACCTCTCACCTTGCCATTCATGAAGCATCGGTTGTCCAACGTACAGACAGTCTCCATATGCAGCAGGACTCAGATGTGTCGCCCGAACGAATACACGACGGCAGAGTTCTACTTGATTCTCGGATACAACATGAAATGCGGATTCACGACTCGCGCTCTCAATCCGAACCACGAATCCACCACGAATCGCATGCGGCGCAGGACATTGAAGTGTATTCGGAAAACACGCCTGAAATCAAAACCGAACATTGTGAAATTAGTGACGAAATAGAAAACGGCGGACTAAAAAGTGAAATAGCGGAGATCCGAGGCGATCAGTTAAACGAGACGTCGGGGGGTGGCGGGGACTTCTCTCACTTTCTATCAGTGGAGGAGAATCTGGCGCACCACATGTTTCAACAAGCCCAGCAGGCTGGACCCTCGGGAGTACACAGATCTGCAGTAAGTGTCGTCTTCATCAGGTAGTTGAGTATCTGTACCAGCGTTTCTCAACCGCAGAACCCTAGGGTTACGCCAGAACATTGTCAGTGTTTATTTTATAGATAAGGTTGATTTGTTGTGATTAATAAATAAATTTTTGAGATACAGTATAGTGGTACCTCGAATAACGAATTTAATCCGTTCCGGCGCTGTAATCGTCGTGTGAAACAGACGCCATACAGAATGAATGTCCCCATGTAACCACTGTGACGCACTGTGTTTATTGTGAAATTCCCCCAGTGTACATGACATCAAATGTTCCCAAAAAATCATTTTTCTTTGTAAAATTATAAATTACCTTCCCTGAACATGTCTATGTAAAAGTAATTGTCAAATTCCACTTACTTTGGCTGTGAGGGCGCGGACAAGGTGCGCTGTGACGTTATCAGGGGCTGGTCGCCCGTCTGTGAAGCTCCCAGACACGGTCGCGCGGGCCATTCAAGTACCGCGTGTTGCCACAAATATATTTTCAAATATTTGTTCTATGTATTTCTAGTGCAGATTTATTTGTTTCTTTTATCGTATATGATGCATATTTGCAACCTTTACAATATGTATACAGTAGAATGTTCATAATGTTCCATGGAACTGTGATACATGTCATTAATGTGTCCACAATAAATGTTTGTCACAATATTACGTGGTAAAAATTCACTAAAATTACAATATGTACAGTTTCACACACTATTTACACAGTAACACTGTATTACACACTCAGTACTTCGGAAGTGAGTAATAATCAACAAAGTACTCCATGGTGCACAGCGTGACTTCGCTCTCGTTGCACCAGCTAAAGTTAGATTTTCGCTTCCTGTTTCGTCGTTCTGTGTGCTTGCAAATAACGCACTTGCGTGCACCCTTGGCTTTAGTACTGGTAGGTGGTGTGTAGCCAAGCTTATAAAGCATAAGGTAGTATTGAAATGATTATAGGAAAAGCTCAGATTGTAAGGTAGTCTTGAAAAGTTTGCTTTGTAAGGTCCCACACAGGAAGATATTCAGCTTGCCTCAAAGAGTGCCCGTCAGTCAGGAAGAGATTCAGGAATTCTTGAAAATTTCTATGGGAAAACACCACCATGGAAGCTGCTAACACTGTTCATCTATGCTACTTTGTATCAGATGCCTCATCACTGAACGCAAAAAACGATTCATCTATGTATCATCTATATAAATTGGAGATGGCAAGGGTGGGGCTCAGAGCTACAACTGGATACGCTCGCTGTATCATCCTCATAGGTGCTGTATCGCTGGCATCCGACCATTGTGTTAAGCCCTTATTGCGCCTAGCTTCACCAATATTATGACCCTTATGTTCTTCGAACAATAGGGTCTGAATTGCACCGACTGAGTGCAATCTTTCAACACCGTGTGGGACAGGTGTTTGAGAGCCAGAGGCATGTGTGCCACAAATGGTTGCTCACGCAGTACTAACCCAGCCAGCAGCCCTTGTCTTTCATATTTGTTATAGCAAAAGGTTCGTTCAGTGTTTGTTGGGTAGGCTGCTCCATTATGACAATCTTTCTTTGTTTCAAATGTGTTCCATTTGTTTTGTATTTGTCACTTACATCTCAATAATGGAGCAGCCTACCCGACAAACACTGAACGAACCTTTATGGCATTTGTACATTTTTCAAATTGTTTCAACTGTTTTTATTTTTCATTTTTTTTTATTTAAGAAACATGGAGCAGCCTACCTGCCGACCACCGAACGAACCTTTTGCTGTAAGACAAATGAAAATTAAATATTGAACACATTTGAAGAAAGGAAAATGTCATAAAGGTTTGTTCAGTGTATGTAAGGTAGGCTGCTCCGTTATTGAGATGCAAATGACAAATACAAAACAAATGGAACACATTTGAAACAAAGAAAGATTGTTATAATGGAGCAGCCTACCTGCCAAACACTGAACGAACCTTTTTGACATTTCTTGTATTTCAGAAATTTAATTTCTGTTTTCTACAGAAACGTCAATGCTTTGCCACATCTCGGCAGTCACCCCTTTATATCCCAGCATCATTAGCATCTTTAAATAACAACATTATTTATGTGCATCGTCAGAGGCGTCCGAGAATGTGCAAGAAGCAGCGCGACCCCCGCCATGTGGTGCTGATGTTACTCAAACCAGTGTTCGCCATACGGGACGATTTGTCGCCAATCGGGCTGGTCGTTACCCAAAATGTTCGCATTTTGGGCCGATCATTATGCGATGTACCACTGTATATGTTATAATAATTTTAGACGGGTTCTTTGAGACAAAGGTATTTTGAGGGTTCCGCAAGGGTAGAAAGGTTGAGGAACGCTGATCTATACAGTACAGTATAACCCTATATTTACCTGGAGACAATCATTTTCACACAATTAGTATAGTTCATTGAGTTTTTATTATAGAACAAAATTGAAATTAAATATTATGTATACTGTAGTACATTTCTGTGCAGTACTTTAAAATGTAAACATACATGGTAGTGTACGGGCAGTGTAATGTCAACGTTGCATGACTGGTGAATTATTTTAACATGTGGTTGCCAGGAGATCCTGGCTGTAAAGAGATTTCAACCATATTGCCAGTGTTTCTCAGAGCCATGACCCCAAAATGGTGTTTATGAACCACGGGCCAGATTCACGAAGCAGTTATGCAAGCACTTACGAACCTGTACATCTTTTCTCAATCTTTGGCGGCTTTGTTTACAATTATTAAACAGATAATGAGCTCTGAAGCACTAGGAGGCTGTTTATAACAATAACGACAGTTGATTGGCAAGTTTTCATGCTTGTAAACTGTTTAATAAATGTAACCAAAGCCATCAAAGATTAAGGAAAGATGCACACGTTCGTAAGTACTTGCGTAACTGCTTCGTGAATCTGGGTCCAGGGCCCATCAACTTTCCCACAGCTCTGTGAGATCTGACTTTACATCCTAAACAAATCTGTACATCTGCTCTGCCAAGCACTAATTTGGCAGTGGGCAAGTAAATCTAACATGGAAAATGTGTGTTGTAACAAAGTTTGCTGAATAGAGAACACATTGTATGCAGAAATGATCAAATGTTGTGTAGGAAATGTAATATGGAGTGTGGAAGAAGCCTTGGAATAGTGTATACAGTAGAACTAATATCAGTAATTGGAGCATGTCAGAGATGAAATGGGAAGATAGTCCTTTAGGTAGAGTGGAGGAGAGAGGTAGTCCTTTAGGTAGAGTGGAGGAGAGAGGTAGTCCTTTAGGTAGAGTGGAGGAGAGAGGTAGTCCTTTAGGTAGAGTGGAGGAGAGAGGTAGTCCTTTAGGTAGAGTGGAGGAGAGAGGTAGTCCTTTAGGTAGAGTGGAGGAGAGAGGTAGTCCTTTAGGTAGAGTGGAGGAGAGAGGTAGTCCTTTAGGTAGAGTGGAGGAGAGAGGTAGTCCTTTAGGTAGAGTGGAGGAGAGGTAGTCCTTTAGGTAGAGTGGAGGAGAGAGGTGTTAGATGAGTTGGAAGTTGTGTTAAGGTGTGTTAGAACTGTTAAGTGACTGGACCCCAAGTTATGGTGGTGAAAATTGTGTAAGAGAAATATATGTGAATGGTTAAGTGTTGTACTTGAGTTATTGATCAGTTTAAAGACCTGCAAGCCCATAGAGAGAATCCTAAGAGAGGGAATCGTTCACCATCTCACCATCTTCTTGAGTAGTCTTGAGATGATTTCGGGGCTTTAGTGTCCCTGCGGCCCGGTCCTCGACCAGGCCTCTACCCCCAGGAAGCAGCCCGTGACAGTTGACTAACACCCAGGTACCTATTTTACTGCTAGGTAACAGGGGCATAGGGTGAGAGAAACTGCCCATTGTTTCTTGCCGGTGCCCGGGATCGAACCCGGGACCACAGGATCACAAGTCCAGCGTGCTGTCCACTCGGCTGACCGGCTCCCGTTCGGCCGGTTGACCATGGACAATCTTGTAAAATCAACACAACATGGTGGTGTTAAAAAGTAGCTTCTCCCTTATGAACCTGCTCACATTTTAGGAGACAGTAATGAGCTACTGAGACAAAGGCCTTCCAGTAGACGTAGTATACGAGGACTTCTATGAGGCTCTTGATAAGGTGCCACATGAAAGACTGGCAAGGAAATTACAGGCACGTGAAATATATGGTAAATTACTAGACTGGATTAAACAAAAGAAAGCAAATGGTCATTCTAAACAGAAATGAATTTGACTGGAGAAATGTGGTGAGTTGGGTACTGCAAAGTTCCATACTGAAGCCAACCCCTAGTCTCATATACATCAGTGACACTAAGATCTGTGGAAAAGAATGATGTGAAAATGATATTGAGGCATTGCAAAGATATTTAAAGTCCACAAATGGTCAGAAGATGGCAAATGCTTTTCAACATTGACAAATGTAAGATGTGGTATGTAGGGCATAACAATGCACATCTTGACTATCACATCAATAACAATTTCATGCAGCACATTGATGAAGAGAATGACTAACAAACCTTTGACACACTGCTAGCGGTTGGAATCCGCCAGTCATTTAAAGTTTCATAATAAGTGGGAGCTGCAGTAATAAAAGCCATCCAAACCCTAGGGATAGTCAAACGAACCTTTAACTTCAAGGAAAAGAGGGTAGCTATTCAACTATGTAAATCTTTGGTGCACCCACACCTGGATTACTGTATCCAGGCATGGAGACCTTTTTCAGAAGGACATAGCTGCTCTGGAGGAAATTCAACCCTGGACAACAAAAATCATTCCAGAACTTAAGTTGACTCTCATACCAGGAATGGTTGAGGGCCTCTGAGTTAACAACACTGCCAACCAGGCATGACAGGGCGGATCTCATTGAAACTTTTAAAATATTGAATAAATTGGAGGATATTAATCTAGACCACTTCTTTAAAAAGTCACATGTAACATACACAAGAGGAAACAGCTTCAAACCTAACTAACCTTCAAACTTGTCTCCTGCCCAAAAGGCAGGAGATGCCTTTTCACCCATATGGTTATAAACCCATTTTACTGCCTACTCACCGAAGCCATAGGTGCCAAGACATTAGTGCATTTCAACTTCCTGTTGGAAAAAATTACCAGGAAAATGTGGGGAGCCTTTGACAAACTGCTGACTTCCTGTCCATTGGAAGGCTACTAGATAGATGGTGGCCCTCAAGTAAATTAGGTATATGTGCTATTGACGGAAAGTGACTGATGAAACGAAAGTTCCAATTTTAGGGTTGTAATGTACTGTACCAGTGTTAAGTTGATGTCAGTGGTACTATTCTATAGTGCTGAGTCTGACATCATTGATGATTTACTAGTATTAGATCAAAGTTTAGCCACATACTGTGCTGCATTCTCAAAAAGCAAAACATATTCACATAGAGTACTATACTGCAAAACAAGATCATATTCACATTGTATCCTCGGTGAGAGATCCTTGGTGAGAGAATTAAGGTGATGATGTATCTTCTCCAGGGGCGTGACAGCAGCTCGGAAGTCAGTGGGGAAGATGGTGGCGGTAATCGGGGTGGCATCGGTGGGAGCATGTACCCGTCTCACCTGCTGGGTGAGGTTGCGCCCGAGGGAGCGTCGACACTCTCCAACCAGTCGGTGAGTCTTGCCCTTGAAATTTACACGGATGAGAGTGCCCGTTCCCTCTTGAGAATTGCCTCGGAGTGTCTCGCCAAATTACTGTAACGAAAAATTGAGCAAAAGCTGGTTCTTGCTGTTTATCTGCACCTGGTAATTGGTATATACTATTTGTGCTTGACGCTCCCTATTATATAGGGCCCACCCAACATTCAAGTTAGGCAACTATTCACTGGGAATGTCTGAAAATTAAAATTTTTCATTTTATTCAGGTTTTTGTTTAGCAGAAATCTAGGCACTGTTATCCAAATTTGTATTCACGTTAGGAGGGCAACAACTGCAACTTGAATTTATTTGGATTTTTGTTTGGCATAATTTTTGGCAGGTAGTCCAAATTTTTATTCAAGTTAAAAGGAAAAACACTTGAATGTGAATTCATTAGGATTACTACAGACAATTGGAATTGGCAAGCACTTACCGGGTGTTGTCCATTCTTAGGTGTTAGGGCTGCTGGCCAAGACATCTCACAGGTAGATAATATGCAGTTAAATTGTCTTAAGATCTAGTGTTAATATCACAGTTTTTTGAAAATAAAATGTATTATTCAAAATGAAAAAATACATTTCTGCAAAATATTTTGCAAAGTGCAGCTTCATGACTTGTCTAAGGGAAAAAGCAAAATAATATTAGATTAAAAGCAAGCATAGATTAATTTTAATGACTTAATGGCTTGTGCTTGACCCTTGCTTAACACTGTGATGATGTATGAGTCATCTAGAAAGGCAATATGGCACACTAGGCCTCATATTGTGATGTGGTGCTCTATGGCTGCATTAAGTGCATTATCACACCATAATAAGGTGGATATTCACCAAGAGAACACAAATATTGTTATCAGTCTGTCACTGACCTTCCCTAAGGGCCACTTCAAAACACCTTCAAAACTATTTTTAAACCAAAATGAACGGTACATTGTACTGTATTAATAAATAGAAAAATGATTCGGAAAGACTTTATATCTATTCAGTAAGGCTGTGATGTACAACATTTATCAAACTTAACAGCTGACTTTAACTATATTACAGTGTTTCAAAAGTTTTATGCACTGTGATAACTGTTATTCACTGTTTTATGCACTTCTGAAGACCCTAGAGTTAGACTTTTGAAGGCTGCATCACTGTGGACAACACGTGACTGGTCAGCTGGACGGCATGTTGCTAGTGGTGCAGTCTTGGCTCATGTGTCTTAGTATGTCTTGTAAGACCAGCCTGCGGGGGGGGGGGGGGGGGGGGGACCCCAACAGGGGGGGGGGGGGGGGGGCTAGGGGTGGAATGACCCCCAACTAGGGAGTGGAACAATCCCAGCTAGGGGTTGGAACAATCCCAGCTAGGGGGTGGAATGACCCCAACTAGGGGGGTGGAACAATCCCAGCTAGGGGGTGGAATGACCCCAACTAGGGGGGTGGAACATTCCCAGCTAGGGGGTGGAACGACCCCAACTAGGGGGGTGGAACAATCCCAGCTAGGGGGTGGAATGACCCCAACTAGGGGGGTGAAATGACCCCAACTAGGGAGTGGAACAATCCCAGCTAGGGGGTGGAACAATCCCAGCTAGGGGGTGGAATGACCCCAACTAGGGGGTGGAACAATCCCAGCTAGGGGGTGGAATGACCCCAACTAGGGAGTGGAACAACCCCAACTAGGGGGGTGGAATGACCCCAACTAGGGGGTGGAACAATCCCAGCTAGGGTGTGGAATGACCCCAACTAGGGAGTGGAACAATCCCAGCTAGGGTGTGGAATGACCCCAACTAGGGAGTGGAACAATCCCAACTAGGGGGTGGAATGACCCTAACTAGGGAGTGGAACAATCCCAGCTAGGGTGTGGAATGACCCCAACTAGGGGGTGGAACAATCCCAGCTAGGGTGTGGAATGACCCCAACTAGGGGGTGGAACAATCCCAGCTAGGGTGTGGAATGACCCCAACTAGGGAGTGGAACAATCCCAACTAGGGGGTGGAATGACCCCAACTAGGGGGTGGAATGACCCCAACTAGGGAGTGGAACAATCCCAACTAGGGGGTGGAATGACCCCAACTAGGGAGTGGAACAATCCCAACTAGGGGGTGGAATGACCCCAACTAGGGAGTGGAACAATCCCAGCTAGGGTGTGGAATGACCCCAACTAGGGAGTGGAACAATCCCAACTAGGGGGTGGAATGACCCCAACTAGGGAGTGGAACAATCCCAACTAGGGGGGTGGAATGACCCCAACTAGGGGGTGGAATGACCCCAACTAGGGAGTGGAACAATCCCAACTAGGGGGGTGGAATGACCCCAACTAGGGGGTGGAACAATCCCAACTACGGGGGTGGAATGACCCCAACTAGGGAGTGGAACAATCCCAGCTAGGGGGTGGAACGACCCCAACTAGGAGTGGAACAGACACGGTAAACTGCAAGAAACTCTAATACAGCCATGAAAATTGCCTGCTTTTGCTCAATTTAAGTTTTGATAATGTTTTCAATATATTCGAGATTTATCTGTATATAGTGCAATGTGCCACAAGATCTTACATAGAAGAAACTTTTCTTTCACTGTGTGTAAGGAACTTTTGTCATCAGCTGCTAATGCTCTCAGAACACGGATATAATCTTTGTAAATAAATTGCATTCAAGATTAGCTCACTGAGACAAATTCGCAGATACTTTTATATCTAAGTTTTGAAATTTAATGAGGCATATCAAGAGAGTGTGGGCACACTCGTCCATGTGTGGTTTATTTATTATATTGTGAGCAACTGGTGTGTGTGCTTTAGGTGCATTGAGCAGTGTTGGCTGGTGACGGCACGGGGAAGTTTGCTGCGAATCTGTCTCGGAATGTGTGTGTGTTGCATCCCTCCGAATGGCACTGGAGATCTGTTTTGTATCCAGAATCCTCACACTAATGACTTAGATTGGGCATAAAATTGGGGGGGGTAGTGTCCTGTCTGGTGGAACTAGACATATTTTTAGTTTTAAATATTTTTTGGTTTTGCTTTCATGCACTAAGTGTGTCATCCTACCCCATGGCACTGATCATCATTATTGTACAATGCCAGCTGGAACTAGGAATCTTCATTGTACCTAGTTAGAGACCGGGCTGCCACCACTGCCACCTGGCACTGGGCATCTTCACTGTACCTTGCCTTCCCCACTAGCAACACAGTCATTTTGTGGTGGGTGAATTGCATGTTTTTGTGAGTTGAAGGGCGCTTGTTGTAGCATTGAATAGGAGACTGAGAGTGGATAGGAGACAGGCTTAGTGTTCTGTCCTCTAGGAATAAGCCCGATGTCTTATTCCTAGAGGATAGTGGTCGCAGAAATTGTTCTGTGGGCTGTTTTGGCAAGAGAACAATGTCTAGACCACTATGATACACCCTTAACGGTCATGAAAGACAAGACGCTGATATAATATACATGTACACTGATGTTCTGAAGGCTTCCAAGAAGTGTGTGTGTGGTGTTATTGCACACAAAGTTTGCTCAAAAGGAATTACCATACAGTACTGGCAAAGTAGATGGATCTTTAATGTCCTAATGAGCAGAACCAGTGTGTAACAATCAACACAGTAAGTCTGGATCATCCACCATGAAAAGTTCAGCCCCCAGGGTACTGTGCTTGTTCCAATACTCTTTCTCATATCAGACATAGACAAGGATACGAACAATAGTACCATATCATCCTTTGCAGATAACACTAGGATTTTTATGAGTTGGCAACATAGAGAACACAGCAAATTTACAGTCTGATGTAAATCAGGTCTTTCAGTCAGTCACAGAAAATAATATGGTTTAATGAAGACAAGTTCCAGCTCCTGCACTATAGGAAAAATAATATAAAAATAGAAGCCATATATATAAAATTCAAATCACACTGTAGAATGAGATAGCAATATAAAAGACATGGGTGTACTCGTGTCGCAAGACCTTACGTTTAAAGAGCACAATAAAGTAGCCGGCACAACTGCAAGAAAACTGACATGTTGAATAACAAGAATCTTTCAAACAAGAAATACCATAGCAATTATTCTTTTCAAAGCACTAGTGCTTTCTATGATGGAATACTGTTGCACAATAACATACCATTCAAAACTGGACAAATTGCTGACCTGGAGAGCATGCAAAGATCCTTTATTGCTTGAATCCACTCAATAATACATCTAAATAATTGGAACCTCTTAAAATGTTTAACCACTGCACTGCGCTGTATATATATTCTGTATGTATATATATTCTGTATGTATATATATTCACTGCACAGCTGTATATATATTCCTTGGAGCACAGATGGAAGGGATAAATAATTTACACTTGGGAAAACATTTGTCACATGAAAATAACCTCATATGAGACCAGAATGCATGGCACAATGTGCAAAATAAACCCTTTGAAAAGCAGTGTTGCACTAGGAATGCTGAGAGAGAGAGTGAGGGGGGGTGGGGGAGAGAAAGTGAGGGAGAGAGAGAGCAAGGGAGAAAGAGAGTGAGGGGGGGGGGAGAGAGAGAGAGAGAGAGAGAGATGAGAGAGAGAGAGAACGAGAGAGAGAGAGAGAGAGAGGGCGAGAGAGAGAGAGAGAGAGAGAGAGAGAGAGAGAGAGAGAGAGAGAGAGAGAGAGAGAGAGAGAGAGGCGAGAGAGAGAGAGAGAGAGAGAGAGAGAGAGAGAGAGAGAGAGAGAGAGAGAGAGAGAGAGAGAGAGAGAGAGAGGGCGAGAGAGAGAGAGGGCGAGAGAGAGAGAGGGCGAGAGAGAGAGAGGGCGAGAGAGAGAGAGAGGGCGAGAGAGACAGAGGGCGAGAGAGAGAGAGGGCGAGAGAGAGAGAGGGCGAGAGAGAGAGAGGGCGAGAGAGAGAGAGAGAGAGAGAGAGAGAGAGAGAGAGAGAGAGAGAGAGAGAGAGAGAGAGAGAGGGCGAGAGAGAGAGAGAGAGGGGGCGAGAGAGAGAGAGAGAGAGAGAGAGAGCGAGAGAGAGAGAGAGAGAGCGAGAGAG